ACGGCACAATAAAGCATGTTTATTGCTTTTGCATAATTCTCGACCTTTTTGATGTCCTCGGCATCAAACTCGTCTTCGGTCTTAGGGATCAACTTGTCTCCGACTTTCTTCATCGGCACCTCTTCCCCGTTTTTGATAACCAACCATAATTGGAAGTTCGTGGAACGAATATAGATTCTCATTCGTTCTTTCCAATATGCATAATTGGTTCCATCAAAAAGAGGTGGCCGTGTGGTTGATTGACCTTCTCCAATCCCTGCATAAAGATTTCTAGAAGAAGAACCCATGATCGCTTTACTCTCAAACGGTTAAGTTTGGACGCGAGTTAGGCTCTGATACCAATTGTTAGAATAAGAGACCAACGCTAGAGGGGGGGTGAATAGCGTTTGATCGTAGAAATCGCAAGAATTAAAAATTAAAGAGAGAATTAAGAAAAGAGTAAGAAGCACACCGAATTTTACCCTGGTTCACCACAACTTGTGGCTAATCCAGACTCCCGAGAGACTCTCTCGAGCTACACTATTATCTCGTTAAGCTTGCGGGTGCTTAACAAACCGTTACAACTTGAGAGTTCAAGTCACACGAACCTCAACGAATCCTTCAAAGGAAACAACCCTTCCTTTGAATCTACCGAGAGAAGTACCTTCTCTCTAAGTGTCTAAGAACACAAATACACTCAAGAACGAGACTCTCTTATAGAGTAGATTATGAGTAAACTAAGTACGCTCAAGAACAACTCAACCTTCACACAAAATGGCTCTAGCAAGCTATGGAAAATGATGATATTTGAGTGCAATGAAAGTATGAATGTTGTGAAGTGAATTGGTGAGAAAAGCAGACCCAAACACCCCTTTTTATAGTACCAAAATAGGCTCCAACGGACCAATGCATTAAAGGGGTGATTGGCTTGATTTATGAGATTGAATAAATTTGGGATCTGCAGGATATTGGCTTCCCATCGATGTTTGGAACTTACCCATCGCTGGTAAGCCAATTTTCCTTCAGTTTTGAAGCCACCGGTTACCTACCCATCGATGAGTACAAGCTTCCCATCGCTGGGTGGGAGGTTGACTTCCAAAGAAGGAAAGAATCAACCTTAAATGACTTCCAACGGTCATGCCTTCCCATCGATGGTTTAGCCTTCCCATCGCTGGGTTCCCATCGATGGGTAAAGCTTCCCATCGCTGGGTAAGGGCATTCTGCCTTGTGTTAATGTTGGACCAAGGCTTGAACAGCGATTTGTAGAGCTTCCCATTGCTGTTTGGCATGGTTCTGGAAGTTGGTTTGGCTAAGGGGCTACTTACCCATCGATAGGATGTTCTTCCCATCGTTGGGTGGGTGGTTAGCTAAAAACCTATTGTTTTTTCCTTAACCACGGCCTAGCCAACCGATGCAAAAACCGACCGAAAAATCCAAAAGTCTCCAAAATAAAAACCAAGTGTTTAAAACACTTATTTGATGTATTTGGCTAAGAAATCAAGTGAGACACTTTAAAAATCACGTCATTTGAGTAAAAACCACGGCTAGCCAAGTTTACGCCGTTTTGCGTGGTTTTTGTCAAACGACTAAAAGCGAGAGATGGTTTTAAAAGTGTTTTTGTTGGAGAACCGTTTAAACTTGCCAAAGAGTGAAAGCAGATCATAAAATGCTGAAAACCACTTGGTTGGTTCGGATGCCAAAAACCAAACCCGACAACCGAAAGCCGAACGCTGGTTTCTAAAAGCCGAACACTGGATGGCTTGGTTTTTGGTTTGGGCGAACACCAAGTGTTTTTAATGACTTAAACAAATTTGAAAAACGTTTTTATGATGTAAGAAAAGCAATGAGAGATTTTAGCCTAAAGAGCCAAGGTGTAAAGATTGGGTCGGTCTTGATCACAATAAAGACCGACTCAATACTATGATTAAGGTCTTCGTTCTTGGTCTTCGTTTAGCTCTTGCTCTTATCTTCGTTCTTCGCCTTGTATATTCAATGTTCGAATTTATCACGGCGGTTTGGCATTATCAAAACCTGTTACAAAAACGAACACGGCTTTAGTACGAAAACGTGGCAAGCCCGTGTTTCAACAATTTCCCCCTTTTTGATAATGGCAAACGAGACGAGGTTATGCATAGGAGGATTATTTTGAAAAAGATGTTCCCCCTTAATAGATGCCATTTTACAAAAAAAATTCCCCCTTAATTTATGCATAACCTTAATATCTTCCCCCTTTTGACATTAACAAAAACAAGTAAACTTTAGAATTGTGAAAGTAAACTTTTATTCATGAAAAAGGGAAATGCGGAATACAACGGAATGGAAAAAATAAAAAAATACAATCATAGTAAGAAGAGAAAAAAAAGTCTAAGCATCGGCGTCCTCGTCGTCATCCTCGTCGTCCTCGACATCCATGGGATCGTCGTCGACCGCATCTTCAAAGTCGGCCTCGTCGGGGGAGGAGGATGGAGCATAGGAGTTATCCTCCTCGTCCTCCCCTTCATAGTTTTGGCCGAGGAAGGTGCTGTCAAAGGCTGGCGGGACGTAGTTGACGCCGCGGAAGAACGCCATCATGTCGTGGTGTTGGCGTTGCAGCGTCCAATCCATCCGCTCGATTGACTGCCCCATGCCGTCTACTGTGAGGGTTAGCCGATTCAGAGTATCGGCTATGGATTGCAAAGAGGCCTTGGCGGGAGCGGGGGCTGGTGCACGACTCGGGCCTGCGTCGTCCCGGTCTCCAGACTTCTTCCGGAAGGTGCTGTCTTGAATTATCCAAATCTTTGTCATCTTCGTATCCGGGCCGGCGATGGAGATGTCGGCGGAGATGATGAGGTCCATGACGAGGAAGGCGTATGGCAAGCTCCGCTCAGTGGCGATGGAGGCGCAATCCGCCATGTG